GGATCAGAAATACTCAGCACCCAAGAATCCAGATAGTTGGGCCAGTATTACTGAAAAGACCTATATTTTTTATTACTGCAAAATGATAGACAAACCTTTACACACACAGAGAGAGAGAGAGAGAGAGAGAGAGAGAGAGAGAGAGAGAGAGAGACAGAGACAGAGACAGAGACAGACAGAGAGACACACACAGAGAGAGAGAGAGAGAGAGAGAGAGAGAGAGAGAGAGAGAGAGAGAGATTTCTCCCCAAGCCCTAAACAACTTTTCCAAATGACCTCAGCTGGAGTCCTAAGTGCTCAGTGCGAAGTTGTGAGGTTAACTGACTTCCTCAGAATTGTGAATTCTTGAAGGGGAAGGAAGGGAAACTCTGGTGTCCAAAATCACCTCTCCACTCCCAGCAAACACTGAAACAGAACTCGAGCTTCTCCGGGTGCTCCTGTATCTAAGTTACTGTCATAAAATAGCAGAATCCAAGGTGAAATAAGAGCTAGTCCCAAACCACCCAGTGTAGAGCTTCCCTAACAGCAGCCCTCCTTATGTCCAGCCACCACTCTTGGCAATCAGCACGCCTTGTTTGGTGGGAGCCCGCTTTCTGAAAATGGAAGCACACACTGGATCCCTGTCATAAAGAAGTCCTGAAGGCGATGCATTCCCACCTCATAATCACACTCCATCATCAATGTTTGTCCTCTTCAACTCCCAGGAATTCATGACTCCAGCCACGAAATCCCCTTGCCTCACTACCTACAGCAGTCGGGCTCTTCTTCCCAGCCTACAAGAATATCATCAACGCCCTTCAGAAGGTCGAATGTCTTCTCCTAAGTGGCCAACCCTTCGACCGAATGGAAAGTAAGAAAAGATGACACAGACAACTAGGGGGCAGCTGCGAGCGTACGATGTGTGATGGAGCTCGTCGTACTGGTACTGGTTTGGGGTGGGGAGACACAAACACATAGCTAGACGGGGGCTGGGGGTGGGGGTGGGGGTGGGGTCGGTGCTGCACAGGGCAGAGCCAAGGCACAGGTTACAATGCAGCTGAGGCGGTCACCAAGCACCTAAGGCAGACCAGCCCCGGACTCACATAAACCCATCACTGTTTATCTGCCCCAACACGATTCACCCGTGGACATGACAGCTCCGCTGGCCGCATTAGATCAGTTCGCCAGGAAGAGCTGGGTATGGGGCAGGTGGTCACCCAACACTTCCCGAGTGGCACTGAGATCCAATGCGTGCTTACAGGACTTAAGACAACTGACACCTCTGCCGCAGCCAGGCCCACGCCCCTCCGCCTTCCTCAGCCCCATTGCTCTCCCAAGTCGGGAAAGAACCCAGGTGAGAGCCAGCAGTCGCCTTCGCTAACCTTCGCCTACGGCGGCCCGGAGGCGTCAGGCGCCGCGTCAGGGCGGAAGAGCCGAGCCCTGGGGCTGCTGCCCAGGCGCGATTGCGCAGGCGCGACCCTGACGCTTCCGGAGACCGCTTCCCCCCCCCCCGGTCTCCTAGCAACGGTTGGAAGCGTTGTGACAGCCGTGGAGGCAGAGGCGCCGGACTGAGCCCAGAGTTTCGCTGGCCACGCGATGGTAAATTCATGGTCCCCGTCACTGCGCCGCTGCCAGGAGCGCCGACCTCCGTGGGCCTTCGCTTCTCGGCCCCCTGGCTGCGGTCACGGATGCTGGCTCCAGAGGCTTCTTGGAGGAGCAGGAGGGAGACCCTGTAGAAGGGGATGTCTAGACGGAGGAAAGCTGTCTTGGGGGTGGTTCTTGCCGAGGTTGATGTCGGGAAAGGGGAAAAGAGATCGGGAGACGAGAAACCCTGGGAGGAGGGAGGGAGGAGGGGGGAGGGGA